CAAGTTGATTCCTCCAATCCAACATGGGTTTAGAAAGGGTAAGAGTTGCTCTGAAAGCTTTGTATCATTTGTTCATGATATTAAACAAGTCAAACTCAGCCATTCTAACATGATCTGTGTTTTCTTAGATGTGTGCTTTCGACAATGTCAATATTGAAGTTCTTGTACAAGTATTGCACAACAGTAATATACCACTAAAAACAATAAAATGGCTCTATAAGTTTCTAACTAAAAGAACAGTGTATGTGACATTCAATAATAAATTATATGGTCCCAAGATTGCCAATAAGGGCACAATGCAGGGAGCCACTGTATCTCCTTTATTATATAACTTGTATACTTCGGAAATTTTAAAGTATGTAAATACAGAAAATGTCAATATATTGCAATTTGCTGATGACTTGCTTTTGTACAGTACCAATCAAAATATAAATATTGCACAAAACAACATTAACAATGCCTTAGAGCAGTTACAATACTATTACAACAACAAGCTTAAATTAGATATAAGTTCAGAAAAGAGTTCTGTTTTAATTTCCAGTAAAACTAATTGTGATATAAAAATTTCATACAATAATATAGAGATTCCTATTGTCAGTCAACATAAATTTTTAGGAGTCATCATTGATAACCAGCTAAAATTTGACAAACATATTGATCACATTAGTACAAAAGCTTTAAGAGCAGTAACTGTTCTAAGATATTTAGCTGGAACTTTTTGGGGTTCAGATCCTCAGACCATTAGTATGCTGTACAAAAGCATAGTCCGTAGCCATTTTGACTATAGCAGTTTTGCTTATAAGAATGCCAGTAGCACACTGCTTAAGAAGTTAGACATAATTCAAAATATAGGCCTGAGGTTAATCTGTGGAGCAATGAGATCTACTCCTATAAACTCATTAGAAATTGAAACATGTATACCTCCATTGTTCTTGAGACGACTGCAATTAGCTATGAAATTCAATCTTAAGGTTTTATCTTCTAATAATATCCTTACAGAAAAGTTCAATCAAATGCCACAACTTTTACAATCAATGGCAGCCCCAAACATTACTGTTGATTCTCTGCTCAATAATCCTGAAATGATAACAATATTCACTCATGTAAAAAACTACTGTTACGGAATTCATAACAGTGAAATGTGGCCAATATATACATGCCCATTTAAAAGTTTAATAAATGTTGATTCACTTAATTACCATTTGAACAATATTTTTAATAACAACGACTTTTTAGAATTTAAGCACAGCTATATGAATTATTACTTTATTTATACTGATGGTTCTAAAGACAATAATAATGTCAAATCAGCCTATTATGATCCCCAGGCTGGTTACTCTAAATGTATCAAAATTAATGAACACTGTAGTATATTTACAGCAGAAAGCTATGCTATACAGCAAGCTCTAACTTATGTAAATAACCTTGTAAATATTGTAGTAGTAACCGATTCAAAAAGTGTATTATTTGCCTTAGTTAATGGAATTTCATCTTATAAAACAAGTCATATACTGTGTAATGTAGTTCAATTAATAGAACAACTAAATAGGAAAGGAATAGAAGTACAATTTCTTTGGGTTCCCTCCCACAGTGGCATAGAAGGTAATGAAATAGCAGATAGCCTCACACATATAGAGCAGGATGAAGATCATACCCACATACTGAACATTCCATTTACAGACTTCTACAGTCACTTTAAAGAAATTTCAAGACAGCTTTGGCAATCCTACTGGCAAAATACATTACAGACGAAAGGCAAATGGTATGCAAACATTCAAAAACACCTACCTACAATGCCATGGTATTCCAGAGTGAAGTACTCTAACAGAAAATTCATTACCACTATTACACGTATGCGCTTTGGACACTGCCTCATGCCAGCACATCTGCACAGAATAAATATTTATAACCACTCAAGATGTCTCCACTGTAATCAAGAAAATGCAGATCTTCAGCACATTATATTCAACTGTCCCAGTTTCCACATGCAACGGCTCATCTTCATCAATGACATCAGTGACATCTGTGAGCAAAGTCAAAACAGTTTCCCCCGCCACGTTCAGGAATTACTAAACAATTCAGACTTTTATAAACCACTGTTTAAATTAATAGAAAATACTGTACAGAATATTTAGTTTAAGGAATACATTTGTAACTATTTTTGCTAGTGTAAATATATCTGTTTTAATTGATTTGTACTGCTTAGATTGTAATTACATTTAAATATAACTTTATTATTATTAGCATTTACACCAAAATTTGAAAATTTGAAAAACTAATGTTATTTTTTGTAATTTTAAGTATTGCAATTCTTGCTCTCCTTTGAAGGACACTTATCTACTTAAGTTTTAATTTAAAAATATTTTGTAACCCACAATGTATTCGACTGAAGGACTCTGTATCCAGGTCATGAATAAATTAAAAAAAAAAACTCACTGCAAGTGCTGATTCCTCCGTCTTTTGTAAAACTTTTGTAGTTTTGTCATCTCGAATCCACAGACTTACAATCTAATCTATCTATCTAAGTGCTCGAATCAAAAAATGTTCGTAATATTTGTGTTTATCTACGTTACTCTGTGGTTATTAGTATCTTAGACGCCATGTGTGGATGGTCTTATTGTCGTGCATTTGTATTGCTGTTTTCATCATTTTTGTACATTAAACAACGATATTAAATACCCTAGATACACCAACACGAACAAAATCGTGCCCGAAACCTGTCCAAAAGGTACATTGAACGATCCACTGAGCTCCGTAAGATGATCGCGTAGTCAAAATCAATATAAGGCATTATTTAAATATTGAAAGTAACCTTTAATCCATACTGCATAAGGTCTTAAATAAAACCCATGCGTCAAGGACCTCTGACAGTTCGAAATGCAAGGTCGTAAAATTTTACGACTTATTGCTATATGCGGAAGAATTTAGACCTTAGTTCTTTGACTACGCGCAATTCTGAACGCGCTGTTAGCAATATAGCAGGCACGGACCGCGAGGAAAAGAGACGGCTATATGGCGACGTTTAACCGACCATGCATTTGAATATCACAAATATTTTATATTAAATCAGTTTATAGTAAGTATTAGATCAAAATTTGCTTCAAATGCGTTAAATTAACAAACATTAACTACATACCTGTCGAAAAAACGACACTTTTCTTACTCTAACTATTATTTTCGCATTTTTTCGCGGAGCTCTGCGGCATCTTTGTAACGATCCGCGCGTGACTATGAACTGTGATTGGGACACATTTTGAGCGCTCGTGCTGTATCTAGGGTATTTAATATCGTTGACATTAAAACGCAAACACCGAATCGCCAAGTAAGTGAAGTGCCGCCATATAAAAAAAATAGGTACTTGTCGTTTTATTCTGTAATAATAAACTTAAGAATTAACTGTATAGGCACAGTATCCTTTGCCTTCCCAGAATGGGAAAAGAAAAAAACCAAAAAAAACTAAAGGGTAGTTTTGGTGGGATTTCAATTTTCATCGAGTGCGCAGCAGCAGACATTTTGGCGGCGTTGGTCCAATGAATATTTGAATACACTCTTACAACGTCTTAAGTGGACAAAGCGGATCCCTGAACCTAACGTCGGCGATGTTGTATTGATCAAGGAAGACAATTTGCCTCCTTGTAAATGGCTGCTAGGTAGAGTGACTGAGAAACATCCCGGTCAGGATAATATTACGCGTGTAGTCACATTACGTACGAACAACTCTACATTAAAAATACCTACTTCCAAAATATGTGTTCTACCCATTAATTAAAGGTCAATAAATTGTGATTGTAAGTTATTATAGGTACTGGTATAAGTAGGTAGTTATTTTTTAATATTTTGTAAGTTTAACTTTTGTTTTTTGGAAGTTCTATTGTTATTCATTTGTTAAACATAAGGGTTTTTAGTTTGTTGAGTTACGATTATCTTAGTTAAAAACATACTATGGCCAGCCACTATATGTCCTTGGTGGGCGGAATGTTCAACCTTAAACAATGTTTATTTTGGTTTTGATATGTATTTAGTACCATTTGGTTACGAAAGATGGTGCTAATAAAATGTGTCAAATGTTCGGGTATATGTTCTAAATCGCGCTGTTGAAATTATTTTATGTTTATACTTAAGATAGATGAATAAGGTTCAAAATTGCAAATAAATTGGGCCACAGCGATCTGTGGAAACAGGGTACCAGTTTTTTTTATTTAAGAAACCCCCTGTTTATCAACCCCCAGAATCCAACCCTCAATTAGTGCAGGGTTGTACAGTATAAATTGTCATGTTTGCGAACGATAGCGCAATAAATAAATATTATATTCTACCACATACATGATAGTACTATTATACTGATAATTAAAGAAATTCGTGCGAAATTATTCCCTTAACATTCCAAAATATCAAAAATGCACAACGTTAATATTCAAGTTTTCACTTCTGTCGTCGTTTTTTTTAATTTAATTATTGTCTATCAGGTAGCTGGCTGGCTAGGTTTATATAGGACACCACACTACGTAACCTGGGTTAGGTTAATGAGCGGAATCTATCGCAGTAAATAATACGGTTGCTTAACGAAATTTATGTCTTGGCTCGATAAACTTGGTCGTTTGCCCGCATTCGGGTGCACGAAAGACATTACTTAAATTCGGGCAAATTAAGCAATATTGGACTGGAACAACGGAAAGCAGCTGGAATACGGGCTGGAAGACCCGAATTCTAATCGTATTCGGCCTGACGACCAAATGTAATTGAGCCATAAAAAGAACTTCATTGTTAAATATATAAACATTCGGCCAAACAATAAGTATACATATTTTAAAAAATATGCCATGAAAATATTTGAATATACATAATTATGCCAAGTCTGTTATGCCTATTGAATTTCAGAGCAACAAGATTCTACCAGATAGAGGGGACCCATAAAATTCATCTACTTACTGTTTCCTCAAAAACTTACATTCGATTGACATAATAATTCCCAAATCAAATTAATTTATTTGAAAGCTCTCCATGAAGTATTCATTCATTGCCATCCCACACGAATAATAATAATTCACTTCAATTAGAAGCGCGTTACAGTGTAGACATAATTGACGTTACCGTTATTTAGCTACCGAACTTGTGAACATTAAATAAATAATTCCCTACTGTAGATCACAAGTGCTACTGCAAGATGAGAGTTGGTGAATTCAACAAAAAAAAGGAAGACCTACATACTAACAAATCATTTGTTTTTCTTAATGTGCTTTTGAAGATATTCGGATTAAAATGCTATGTGCATCGCAATGCATCTAAGCTTTTCCTAACACGTTTACTCTTAACGATCATTATTTTGGGTGCATTACTAATATTTAATTTACATTATAAAGCAACCAACCTTAATAATATTTTAAATATCTCCGTGAAAATAACAGATACCGTTCAAAGTGTGTATGACTACTTCCAATATATTATCGACTTATTCTACGTGTACAAGTATGGTGGACTTGTGTATTGTGAATATTTTAAGCAGTATGACACTATTGACGGTATCATCGGTAAAGGAAACTACAAACTTACAATTAACAGGAGGCTGTCTAAACTAAGCGGCATTTTCGTTGCGTTTTGGCTTACTAGTTCCACTTGCGATTTTGTAGCGTGGGCGCTGAGTTTTGGATGGAAAACCCCCATGGTATATTCCACGGCATACCTATACTTGCTTATAAGAATGGTGACAACTTTGGATATCATCTCCCATATTTTGCAAATACAATGTAGAATGAGCATGATATATGAAATAGTGCATGTCAATTATGTGTCTGCAGACAATTTGCCTGGAACGATATGTGACTCTGTAGAAAACAAGAATTGGTTTTACGGTAAAAATAATATGCATGAGGCAGATAGCAACAAAATACGACCAGTCTGTATCCGAGATAAAAATTTGAGCAGATGCTACTTAATACTAACGGAACAATGCTCGTACATTAATCAAATGTTTGGCGTTAGGGTAAGTTCCTGAAAGTTTCATGGTCACCTTAATTATAGTACTTAGGGGGATTGTAAATTAAATATACCTACCTTGTTTTTTGTGAGACCCAAATATTTTGGCACTGTTGCAAGCGCCGGAATAACTGACAGTACTCCGTGATCTGAAACAATTGCTTTCATATTCTTCACTGTTCAAAAAATGTAAATTAATTTAGATCATAATTACAGATTATATTATATTCAGTTATACAATATTAATTATAATTAATTACTTTCCTTTCGAGTCAGTTTTGGTTTTGGAGGTCATTCATAGGTACGAAATAAAAGCAGAACCTAGTCAGTTCTGATTGAGAACTGAATCGGTATTTTGGTCGATCGCAGAAAGCATCCAGTTTGCATTTGAGTTGCAGTTTTTATTCACCGGATGATGTGTGTAGGATATGGAGACACTAACTAATTAAATAAAACTACTTTTCAACGAGTTAAAAATGCTTTTATCAATATTTTTTTTAAATTTATTTTTCATCAAAAAATCATACTCTCAACATCATTGAATTTTAGATAATGCACCCTGAAAATGATGCGAAACGCCGAGTAATATACTATACCCGTTCAAAAGTACCAAGTTTTATTTGACATAAAAAGGTTAATAATAATGAATTTTTCGAATTCGTAAAATACTTACTTCAAGTAAAATATTTTCTATCATTAATTTCTTTAATTAATGATCAAAGTGAAGCTGTCAAATCGGAATGTCGCTATTTTTGTTGACAAAATTGGCATAATGAAAACTTCTTGGTGCCCTTAAAGAATATTAAGTTAAGTGGTAGAGTGGTCATAAGGACGCTAATAGGTCACGTAGTACGGGTACGTTCCCTGTACCCGTAGGTACTACGTGATCCACGTTTTTCATATTTTACCTCCCCCCTACCTCCTCGTTGACCACAATATGGTTTTAAATCATTTTTACGTACCTTCCCTAAGTAACCCTGATAATAATTTTCAGGTCCTTCTCAATACCTTCAGTTCATTTATCGACATGGTAAGGTTTACAAATCTTACAGTGCGAATGATAGTAGGTTCTCAGGTACGTAAATTTAATATCCTTACCTGCCTATTATTTCTTCTGCTTCTGCTTAATTCTTTGGCAAATATTAACTATAATTAACGTCAAATAAATTTAATGTCATTTACAGTCACGTGTAGGTAAACAAGACGTGTAGGTACACTATCGGTATGGTTATAACAATAAATAATTAATATTTCCAACACTCACGTCAATTAACCTAGCCCCAAAGTAAGCACTGTAAGCCTTGTGTTATGGGATACTAGGGTAACGGATAGAATACATATATGTACATATATAAGTATGTTTAAATAGAAATACATATTAAACATCCATGACTGGAGTACAAAAGCTCGTATTTAGGAGGTCTTCAAAATAATGACTTTAATCAAAATTAAAAGTTAATTGTGTTACTATAATTAGTCAGTAGTAAACATTAAAAAGTACCGGCAATTCATATACTTATATTAGCCCGTATTATTTTGTCTTTTATGGCGAATGCCACGTTGGGCTCCACATTCTAGTACTTACCGATTTCGCTGTTGTATCGAATGCACCATTGCCTTGCACCAAATTGTTCGATTAATGGTGCAGATGTAACTGATAGGTTTTGTTTGCACCATTAATGGACCAAATTAACCACAGTACTTATAAGTAGAATATAGATAGTGTCATCTGCACCATTGTGATTTGTGATGATACATACTATGAATGCGGTTATGTAATTAGGTATTTATCTTTGCATGTAACATTTAATTTTACCAGTTTATCTCAAAATAATTTTAAAGTAAATTTTCGTATTAACAATGAATGGAACTTTTATTACACATTATCGAAGATTTGGAGTTATTTCTTCGACATTCACTTCTTTTATATTACATTCTTTTCTTCTTTGACGAGGAAATAATAGTATTCATATTAATGGTGCAAGTCAATGGTGTAATCGGTACAACGGCCATATTTCAATGACGAAACTAGCCAAAAAATTGAACAGTTAATCACTGTTTAAGTGTTTTTCAATTTCTGCATAGGTACCACTATTGAATTTCATAATATTTTTTGCAGCACATTCAATACAATACAGTTTACTTTCCAATCGCTTCTACTATAAGTCGAATGCTCACCTGCGCCATAATCTTCATTAGCCTAGTCCTTCACTGCGAGAACGCATATCGACAAAACGAAAAAATCATACTTATAATTGATCACTTGTTCATCAACAAAAATCCTGGTGAGTGAGATTTTAAGATTGATTTAGGTTTATTTTATCTAAATCTTACTTGTTTTTTTCAATTTCATATAATTTGAGAATCTCAATCAAAGGTCTTTATTTTTCATATATTCTGTTTTTCAATTTGGTTGTGTTTGGTGAGTCATAGTAACGAGGGTTTGATTTGAACATTTTAATTGTCTTTTTTGCTTGGTTTCCTTATTTTGTTTCCTGCTCTCGTGTGGTATGCAATGAATATTGAATTATTATTGTTTGTTCAGATGTAAACGTACCGACAAATCAATTAGATCGGTACTTACTTGTTTATACGTACACCATAATTAGAACCACGTCCCATTATTTACACTCTATCTAATATGCAATGACCGTGACACATTCCACACATTGCGTGCATATACCTACGTGCTTATTTTACTTTTTGAAGTGAAACCTTCTTTAGCGGCGTTGTACACTTTTTTTGTAATGGGTAAAAAATGTTAAACTCGCGTCAGGACACGTGGCATAAAACGAAAACAATAAAATTGTTGACTTTCAGTATATTGGACGAAACATAGTAATATTTTATTTTATCGTATTATAATAATAAGTCTCTAGTTAGGACATCCAAGTGGCAACTTTATTGCGAAGAAAATGTATTTTTTTTGCAATAGATGTCACTAGGTGCGCTTAAATGTGATTCATGTAAGTTGATTTTTCTGAGAGATAAACTTTTTAATGTAATATAAATTGTCATGTTTGTATACCATAGCGCAATAAATTAATATTGTATTCTACCACATAAATTATAGTACTTTTATACTGATAATTAAAGCAGTTCGTGCAAAATTATTCCCTAACCATTCCAAAATATCAAAAATGCACAACGTTAATATTCAAGTTTTCACTTCTGCCGGCACTCCCGGAGTGCAACCCGTCTTTTTTTTTATGTTAAAAGGGTGGCAAAGCGGCAAAAAGCATATGGCCCGCCTGATGGTAAGCGGCCACCATAGCCTAAAGACGCTTGCGATGCCAAAAATATCATTCGCGCCGTTGCCTATCCCCTAATCCCCTACCTCGTCGAACCCTGGGGATCTATCGCCTAATGCAATTGCTATGGCTATCGCTATATCTTACGATTTTATTTTGTAATTAATGACCGCCGAAGGTTATCAAGTACCTTACGCTCATTTTCTTTTATATTGTTATTCCACACAAAGGAAAAAAATAGAGCGCAGGGCATTTGAAAATCTTCGGCGGTCAAAAATAACAAAATGAAAATGTAAGCAATAGCGATAGCCATAACAATCCTGTAAGGCGATTGGCCCCCTGTAACCTTACTCACCGACAGATACACAACACTAAAAGGTAGTGTTATTTTACAGTGGTCTTCCTTCTGTAAGTTGGAGGTTACTTGCCCAGACGGGCGCTCCAATTTGAGCGAGAAATCTGCTATGCCCTACCTCTCTTACTCACATTTTATACGTACACACATGTATGTACTTATATTTAAGATACGGAACTTCATAAAATAAGAACAATGATTCACTTAATCTTTGACAATGACATGACAAGGCTATGACTATGTATATTAGCCAGGATGTTAGACGAATGAAAAGGACGTTTATTTCATTGCCATATGTTTTAGAAGTGCTAGCCCCAAAATTCCCCGTGATGTATTTAATTTCCCCAATTTTCCCCAAAGAGTAAATTATTTCCCCAGAATCGCGAAAAAAACCCTCAGTCTGGTAACGCTGCGCTGCTCATATAAGCGGATCACTTCTGAGTCGCGAGTGCCGTATCTTCCCTTTTTGTTTTGACTATTTTGACATGGCTCAGGATTCTTATATATTAGCCAGGATGTTAGTCGAATGAAAAGGACGTTTATTTCATTGCCATATGTTTTAGAAGTGCTATCCCCAATATTCCCGGTGATGTTTTTAATTTCCCCAACAATTTTCACAAAGATACTACATATTTCCCTATTTTTCCCCAAAGAGTAAATTTTTTCCCCAGAATCGCGAAAAAACCCTCAGTCTGGTAACGCTGCTGCTCATTTAAGCGGATCACTTTTGAGCCGCGAGTGCTCTTATAGGCCTACATACATTTCGGGGATTTATTTTTATTGAGTGAACTGGTGGGTACCAGTCTCTTATCAAACCCGCGACTTCGTCTGTGTAGAAAAATTGGTTTCCCATACAAAGTTCCACCCCAATTTTCACCCCCTCTTCAAGGATGATATACTGATAGACAGACACACTTCCGCATTTATAATATTAGTATGAATAATATTTAAGTATAGCTTTTTTTTCTTTTTTAGGTCCAGAATTACGAGCATCTATGTCTGAGTTGCGTGATCTGGTGCGTTCTCGGCCCGTGAACTTCCATTTGGCGAATTTTTTCCGGCTCGATTACACTCTTCTGATTTCCACGGCTTCCGTGGTTACCACCTATTCCATCATTCTGCTGCAGAGTATAAACTAAGCTATGAAACAGTTTAACATCTTTTTTATGGTACCCATTGTTTTTAAGTTAGGGTAAAAAACAAGACTGATGGAAAAACAAATCCAAAGTCTTTGTAAAGTTTTTTTTATGTTATTTTAATAAACTTCAGTGTGTATTATTGTTAAAAATACTTATCTCCTACTTATACCTAATCCATTCGTGTCGCATTCCGAATAAATACAAAAGTATATGTCAGGAAATTCTTGTGAATAAATCCGACAAATAAATTAGTGACATTTCCAGGACAATTTGATAAAAAGCCTCAATTCAATTATATATTTAATTATCTAAGTATTTCACATCATATAGTCTACGCTTATTAAACAAAACAGCTTAAATTATTATTACTCGTCATGCGGCCCTATTTGAGTTGTCTTTGTTTGAAAAAGACTGGACATTCTTTACGATGCTATCTATATCTATCATAATTATAAGTTCCACGTCATATATTAATATATAATTGACACAAATGAGTGGAGCACAGAGTTTTTCAAAGTTTGGTTAATTACAGGATTTTTTTATATACACCTATGACACAAATGACGAGGCCACAGGGCATAGCGTTGATAATATGCATAATTTATAAACAATGTTATAAGTACCTTCATAACTAACCTACCACGCCCCTACAGCATGCCCCAAACACGCCATCACGTGGTTGATAACGGTCGATATACCATAATTTGCTAGCTGAAATTAAAATTTTACCTGAGACTATTGTTAAAAAAAATACATTGTTTCACAACATAACTATTGTGGAATGGCAAAGCATCAAAATATTATAGATTTTTTTAAGCCGTCTCCGCAGCAGTGCCCTGAAAGTATTCGCGCCATGAATTCATGACCGTAACGGTGACCCACTACATTCACGGGTCACACATTCGTGAGTGAATTGGATGTGTAAACCATACAAACCAGTGTGCATGATAAGCTCGTGATTTTATTACCTATCCTTGGAAACTACATGAATAGGACACGAATTTACAAAGTTTACCTATACTAATAACGACGAATTCAGCCTGAATCAAAGACTTTCCTTATCTTCCCAAGCATGAAGAAGCGCCGGATAGTAATTTATGTTCAGTCACATATCCGAATAACTGGTCATTGCAAAAGTTTCTTAACTTCGAACCAAAAAACACGCTTACCACTTGCGCCATCGAGCTCCTCCTTAATCTGAGTTCCTACCTCCTACCTACCTGCAAACCCGATTCAAGGTGTCGTTATTTTTAACCCTATCAAGTGGACTTCTTTGATATTATCTTAAATCTGAAAATGGGAAAGATAATGTCCTATAAATTAATGGTTAGGGCTTAAGGAAAACTACACAAGACAGGTTTAATACCTAAGGTAACTAAGGTAAACATAATTGAATAAAAAATATCCAGAGGGCCAATCACTATACATTTGAAACTTTTTCTGTTGATTTTAAAATATTTTAATGCATAATAATATTGAGCTATTTTAAGTGTTCTTATTTTGTCTATCAAACCCTTTTTTTTTAACGGTGGGAAATGCATTACGTATACCCCGCGCTTTGGGATACGCGGGGTTATTTCGGACTCTCCGCGGCTTCTGGGGGCAGACAGAATGCCCCCCAGAAGGTGCAGTACCGCGGCCTACCGACTAAAGTTTTGGAGGGAGAGATCATCCCCAATGATGGCGGTAAGTTCCCGGCGCCGAAGGGAGAAGCCTGGGCACACCTCCAACGTGTGCTGTGCCGTATCTTCAGCCGCGTCACAATGGTAGCACTGAGGAGTCGGCTCCCTACCGATACGGTGCAGGTAGCGGCCGAAAGAACCGTGGCCGCTAAGAACCTGCACCAAGTGGTACGACAATGACCCGTGGCGCCGGTCCGCCCACGTGGTGAGAAAGGGGTGCATGGCCTCCAAGGTCCTGGACAACGTGCCAGAGACCGAGGCCGAACCCCTTTGCTCTTCGAGCTCCTCGAACCACGTGCGGAACGCCTCGATTTGCGCCTCCTCCAAAGCAGAGGCCCTCTCCCTCGGTGCCAGGCCCTGTCTATCAAACCCTATTTAACAGAATAGGGATTATGACTATTTTTTTTTCTTCGTTTATCAGGTAGATTATAAAAAAGTATTGGACACGTATTTATTCTTTTTTCACATAATATAAACATTGCAGAGATAGGTATATTGATTTGAAAATTCGCATGACGTCACGTTTTACAATTAAACAAATACAATTTTCACTCAAAAGTGACGTCACGAGCCCCTACTCCCAAACTTTGACGCGCTATAACTTTGTCATTTTTTGGTTGAATGCCCAAAGAAAAAATACGTGTCCATTATTTTTTGATCATCTAACTGACTGACTAAATAGAATTTCGTTTACTGTACCCCGTCATCACCCCTATTGTGAAACTACATTCAATCACCCTTATTGTGGAACTACATTCAATCGAAAAGTAATAATTAATTTACGATAATAATATACGAACATTGCAAAAACCATCAACATTTCCGATTACACTTGTTCGCAGAGCTTTACAGCATTACATTTGATAAAATTATTTCATGATCATTAGAATCAATGAAACCAGTGGCGTAACTATACCATCTAGGGCCCGTGGCAAATTTTTTGATGGGGCCCTATCAGTAAAAATCGTCACGTTGTACTCAGTTAGATTTTAATAAACTTCGAGAATTTCAGGGTTTAATTACCTACTAATGGCCATAGGCCTCCTCTCTTAGGCGAGAGGGAATGGTCAGTTTTTTTTTTATGTTATAGGTGGCATACGAGCAGACGGCTCACCTGATGTTAAGTGATCACCGTCGCCCATGGACACTTGCAACACCAGGAGTATCACAAATGCGATGCCGGCCTTTAAGGAAGGAGTACGCTCTTTTTTTGAAGGTTTTTGGGTCGTATTGGTCCGGAAACACTGCTGGCGACAATATATTCCACAGTTTTGTCGTACGTGGTAAAAAATTTCGACAAAAACACACGGTTGTGGATAGCCACGCATCAAGATGATGGGGATGAAATTTTTGTCGCGATGTACGATGGCGAAATGCAGCAGCTGGAATTAATCCGAACAATTCCTCAGAACACTCCCCGTGATAAATGCGATAGAACAGCTATACTCTAAGTGTGTTCCGCGGAACCCTAGGGTTCCGTGATACCTCTGTCGGGGTTCCGCAAGAATTTAGAAATAAAAAAATCAAAACACCTCTCTCTGGTCGCTCCGCGGCTGTGCGGACTCCGCGGCCGCGCGGAGACAAAACGCTATGAATGTTATTTATTTATTTATTTGTATTTGTATAAGCTTGTGTTACATTAGCTGGTACAATATCTCATAAGTTTGGTCTCAACAATTTTATACTTGTACAACGCGTTCGCTCTAAGTTTGCCGGTCTGTGGAATGCGCGTACCCTCCCCCACGTGACAACAAAACTTATAATGTGTCATAGTTTTACCCAAATATCTAACGTACACAATTTTTATTGTTACAATTAAATAAAAATTTTCGAACGTCATACACTCATACCTATCGCCAGCGGCAAACTTAAAACGAGCGGGTAGTATACTTGTAAGCGCTCAGTCTCTTTGATAAAAGCCGCCTCTGAATTAGACGCTATAGTTGTCAACTAGCGACTTTCGTCTCTAACTTCAAAGGATAAAGTCGATATTGTTTACAACGCTATTTTTAAATTTCTGTTTTTATTTTTGCTTTTTGTTTATCAAAGGTGCCGACTCGAGTATTTTCGAGAATATTTGAGATCGAGTCTAGGACTAAGTATAAAAGCGGCGATCGCGCGTTGGCGTCGTCAGTTGATGATTAGCGTTCGGAGCGATAAGTTACTACCTACTTACAAGCTCGCTAGCGAGAAACTGGTGTTCATTGTTTTACTGCCTGCTGTATTCTGTTGTCTCAGTTTTATACATTTCTTCCCTGTAGGTTCTAAATTTACTCTCTTATACGCAGTAACGATTGTGCATTATTTAAACCCCACTATCCTGACTTGTAACATTATAAATAAAGAAGAATGGAACGTTGGCTTAAAGGTGTTAAACGTGTTCCAACAACATCTTCTAATGACGCTGAATGTTCAAAAGCAATGCGCGCGGAGAATTTAGCAATCACCGATCCAGAAGATGATGCCACGAGTGCCACGACGTCAAGCTCGACGGTTTCAAAGACGAAAAAAAGGAAGTATGATGAATCTTATATCAGTTTCGGATTTGTTGATTCCAACGGCTCACCTCTCTGCATGCTCTGTAGTAAACTGCTTCCTAATAGTTCCATGGCACCTGCCAAATTGCGTCGACATTTAGAAACCGTACACCCCGAGACTAAAGACAAGAATAAAGAATTTTTTGTTCGCAAAAAAGATCAGTTATTAGAAAGTCAAAAAAATATGATGCATGTAACACAAACTACCAACGAAAAGGCCACGGAGGCATCATACTTAGTTAGCTATCGCATTGCACAAGCAGGTGAAGCGCACACTATCGCTGAGAAATTAATAAAACCATGTGTATTAGACATAACAAAATGTATGCTTGATGAAAAATCTGCAAAGCATCTTTCTACTGTTCCGCTATCAAACGATACTGTTTCACGACGAATCCATGATCTGGCAAGCTACGTCAAACAAGAACTAGTTACACGTCTACAAAATACACGATTCGCTTTGCAAATGGACGAGTCGACTGATGTCGCTGGTTTGGCTATCCTGCTGGTTATTGTGAGATATCCATATAAAAGTTCTTTTGAAGAAGACATGCTTATGTGTTCATCGCTGCTTACAAACACTACCGGGGAAGAAATTTTTAATAAAATAAATATATTTTTTGAAGAACATAATCTCAGTTGGAACAATTGCATTGACATTTGTACAGATGGGGCCAAGGCGATGACAGGTAAAACAGCAGGAGCAGTGTCACGAATGAAAAATAAAGCGCCTAATTGTAGTTCCAGTCATTGTATTCTGCATAGACAAGCACTTGCGATGAAGCAAATGCCGTCTAATCTAAAATTAGTTATGGATGAAGCGGTAAAAATAATTAATTTTATCAAATCACGACCACTACAATCCCGATTGTTCTCATTATTGTGTGAAGATTATGGCAGCAAACATAAAACACTGCTGCTCCATACAGAAGTGCGATGGCTGTCTCGGGGAAAAACTTTAACAAG